AAAAAAAAAAATGACCTCGTCTCATCAAAACAATACAGTATTTTCTGTGTCAAATCCACTGCTGATGATCCTAGAGTTGAGCAATTTCTTTAAACAAGAACATAACAGGTGAGTGAAGGAAACAAAATCTTCATTTAATTTTTCAGGCCAAACATGGAATAGTTCAAACAACTCAAAGAGTAATGAATTTTTTTAAAAAAGGGGGTGGGGGCGGAGGCCAATCCACACTGTATTTAAAAAGCCAGGAGAAAGGAGAGGATTGCAGGGATTGGGTGGTTTTTTTAAATAACAAGCTAATAACAAGCTAATTTTAAGAATTAAAGTGATACATTAGGTAAAAGGCATGCTGCTTTTTTATAAACCAAGATTTTAATATGCTTGCTTCTATTTGGCCTAAAACTTGGTAGGTAGAAAAAAAACTAGGAAATCCAACAAATAAGAGATAGTTTATTGAGAATAAACCTGGCTTCAGTTCTGCCCTGAAGTCACTGTGGGAGAACCGACGGCCATTTCCTGAGCTCTGATCCATAAGGAGATGGCATGAAACATGCTATTTAAGGAACCTAAGTGACAGGCACTGAAGACAAGAAATGCCTTTACTTTAGTGGTTGAACTCTATATTCAGTACCAGGACGTGTTAAATATTCATATTGTATGACTCGACAAATATCGCAAAACTAAAATCGGTCTGGGGTTTGGATCGGCAAAAGCAATTTCCACATTCGGGTTACAATGCAAGACCCACCTCCCAAAGGTGCCCAACGATGGGCGCGTCGGCCCAGGCGTGCTCTGCGTTCATGCCTATCTTGCCGTTTTTGAAGACGATGAACGTGAACGACTTGTCAAACCACCTGCGGGAAACAAGACAAAACGACCGAACACCGTACATCTGTTGTACCTGGTTGGGCTCATTTCCTCTGCACCCACCCCTCTAACGGCTACAGCAAATGTGCCGTGATGATCAAAGCACCGACAGGGCGCCAAGTCCTTCACCTCTTCCCTGCACCTGACACAAAGCTGAGCCTTCATGGTCTGGAGACTAGAAGAACAGGACCTGTTATTATCACACACGATGCGGGAGAGACCTGGGGCTGTCCCTGCAGGCACCCCCCCCCCCCCCCCNACTCAGCCTTGTCCCCAACCTGCCCGGGAGGCAAACAGACAAGGAAAAGAGGCTCCAAGAGCGGAGGAGCCTCCCAGGAGTCAGGAGACCAGCAGACACCCAGCCCAGCCCTGTCCACCTCTTCTCTGGCCAGAGAGACAGTGTTGGTGGAGGGACAAAAAATCAGAAGTTACTTGTTTATGCTAGTTTATTCCTCAGCAGCATAGATATTGCAGCACGGGTGTCAGCCACCTGGGATAGTTATCCAAGTTCACAGGCAGACCCCCATCTTTCAGAAGTTACGATACCTATCAAAACATCTGCCGTGCAGGAGAGACTTGGCATAGCTGTCCATTGATGTGACCGGGTCCTCCTTTTTATATCCTTCTTCGGTTTCATCTAAGGTCACAAAGAACGCTGCTTTCTCAATGGCGTCAAGAGACTGCTTATTTTTCCCACGTCCAAAGTAGGCCTGGCGACACTTGGCCCAGGGTACTCTGCGGTAAAGATTAAATATGCTAAATACCTGGTGACATCTCCTTGCACATGAGGTTGGAAAAGACACAGTAAAACCTTTACAGTTTTTCAGGAATTTCCTGAAGAACGCTGCACGTGTCTAACTTCCTGCACCTGAAACTGTCTGACAGCCTGCCTGGTGTCCTGTGTCATTTGCCGCAGGGCAGTTCATCTTCACCATGTCTCCAGACCACAGCACAGAGCAGGGTGTGCAATTCCTGTTCAATGTTAATTTCTAATGGACGACCAGAGTGCAGACTGGCCCTGTGAGCGCAGCTGCAGGGAGCGGCAGAGCCAGAACAAAGCGAGCCCCCCACACCCTTCCCTGCCCCCACCCCGCCCAGCCCCTCCTCGGGAGCCGTCCTAAAAAGGCTCTGGCAGCAGATGTCACAGCAAACATGTGTGTGAGCACTGCCCTCATGCCAGGCTCTGCTCCAAGCCTTTCCCATGTGCTACCTCACTGATCTTTTCAACGCTACCATCTTTCAGATAAGGAAATTGAGGCACAGAGAGTTTAGGTCATGACTATTTTATGGCGGGGAGGGATTCAAACCCAGGCTGTTCCCCTCAAGTCCATGCTATGAATGACCAGATGTCACCCCATGATGAGGTCCCCATACCCAGCTCCCTTGGGACGCACAGAGCTGATGTGCCACCTACAACCTTCTGGAAAGATGCCCCAGCCATGGCTTCCTCTAACTTCTCCTGGACCCTCTCATTTCATTCCCCCAGGCTCCTCTGCCTCTGTCTGGCCTTCCAGATCTGGCCATCCGGCCTCCTGGATCCCACTCTCCGCTCTCAATGAGTGCTCGGCGTGGCAACCCTGGGTGTCAGCAAGCCCATAAACATGATGGGTACCCCATGCGTGCCCAGCCCAGGGGTGGGGATGTCTTCCACCCTCCTTGTGAAGGGCTCGCATAGGGAAGATGCTGGTGCTGTCCCATCCAGAGAGAAGCACGCAGTCGGAGGTGCTTGTGGAGCCACCGGGCATGACAGCCTGGTCCCCCCATGGCACCCACCCTGCATGCCCCCCTCACCCCCTCTGCAGCTGACACTCAGGTGAGCAGGCAGGGAGTGAGCTCATCCTCCCCAAGGCCCATGTCCCCCCTGCTGCTCTATCCAGCCTCGTCAGCACCACGGCAGATGCTCAACAGTCCCAGGGTTCCTCGAGTACATCCTCTTAATCCGTCATGCAGTGTTCTGTCCCATGCCCCCTGCTTCAGGGACCCCTCCTCCACAATGGACCAGAAAAATCTCTCCTGTCATAATCTACCCATGTCATTCCCAGCCTGAGGCGGCTACTTTAAAGGCACCGGGTCACAGATTCAGGCCCAAGTGCAGTTAGGCACCCCCCTCCCCAAGCCTGGCACTGCCTCCCAGCCTCCCACCACCGTCCCCCCAGCCGCCCCATGGTTCCCACCTGCTGGGCTGCCTCCAGGCACACGCTTCTGCCACCAGACACCCTGAATCTTCCTGGCTCGCTCCCACTCTCTGCCAGACACAGCCACCTGCAGTCCCTCTACCCAATGCAAAGCCTTTCCTGATCTTTGCAGAGGGGTCATCCACCTGCCTTACTCCTAACCCTGGCACAACAGTGATCACACTGCTGGAACTCGGCAGCTCTCAACCGGGGACGAGAGTGCCCCCTGGAGTCACTGGGTGATGTCTGGAGACATTTTTGGTTGTCATAGCTAGATTGCTGCTGGCGTCCGGTGGCAGAGGCCAGGGATGCTGCTCACTATCCCAGATGCACAGGTCAGTGTCCCTCCGCCCCCAACAAAGAATTCTCCAGCCCCAAGTGCAGGCGGGGCTGAGGTCGAGAAACCCTGCTGTATTAGTTCAAGCTCAGTCCTCCAGCAATAAATGCCTCTGGTTGACTCTCTTTCAAAGCAGCAAGGAAACGGAACCCTAACACAGGGACCTTGGTTTAAGTTTGTTCTGTTTCCTGAATTAATAAAGATGCCCGTGAAAAAGCCCAACTCCTCACTTCTCTCTGTCATGTGCCTTATCTGCCTGTCACATACAAGGGTGGCTGAGGGACCCCACCTTGTCCTCACTGCTCTCATGACCCACCAGGCTAGGCGTGGGACCTGCTAGCACAGAACAAAGCAGAGCCAGGGTGGTGGCCCTGCTCTGGTGTCACCACAGGTCACCAGCAGGGACAGACCCCGGGTAAGGAACATGCCATAAACACCTCCACGGCCTCCGCAGACGTGCCCAGGCCAGGGGCTGCACACCTGTCTGCCGCGGTGAGGGCCGCCAGCTTTGCCTCCCCGGCCTGAGGCTCCGATGGGTCGTCCAGAATCCTCTGAATCTGCTGCTCGATCTCTCGGGGCTTCAGCAGCCTCCCGTCATGGTAGAGCCAGACCTTGAAGTAGCGTCCCGCGTGGTACACAACGATATGTTTGCTGTCCTTCATGTGCTGGATGGTGTCTGCAGCAGGGCGTGGAGGGGGAGACAGAAACCCAGAGTCACAGAGCAGGGCCACAGTGAGATGACCGTACCCAGATTTCTTAAATGGCACGCAGTTCCGCACTCTGCGTCACTCCGTTCAGTTTAACGAGCCTGTTTCTCAAGACTTCAAATGATTAAGTACAGAATCGAGGGTGAGAGCACTGGAACCAGACAGGCCTGATCTCTAAGCTCAGCTCGGCCACTCACTGGGTGTATTTTTCAGGGCGGATAACTCAACCCTCTCTAAGCCTCAATTTTCTCATCTGTAAAATGGAGACAATACTCAGGACCCTTGTAGGGTTGTGCAACAATTAAAAGACCATCCATACAGCTCATAGATAGTAATCATTCCAACAGTGCAGCTATTTTTTTTTATCAATTAGTTACAATAGGGCAATTTGGAAGACATTCTGAGAAAGGAAGTGGGAAGTTAATAACACAAAGAGACCTGTTTCATAAAAATTACTCAAAGGCAAACTTTAAAAGGCTTAAGATATCTCAGGAATATGATTAAATAAACTCATTCCACAAGTGTGTGTCAACATGTCAACTGAACAGTCAAGAACCGTATAGTGTGGAGCACACAGGGACAGCTGAACAGGACACACTCTAGTGGAGGCGACATGATAAACACACAATTAATAACAGGACAAGTGCTAGGAGAGGCTAGGAATCCTATGACAAAGGGGCCCACCCTCACCTGCAGATGAGAGCAAGCCCTGCCGCCACCCACTAAGGAAGTGACGTTTAAGAAGGACGGAGCCAGATAAAGCCTGGAACACATCCCTATCCATGCTGGATCTCATTTTTAAAATGTTTAGCAAGCCAGGGAAAGAGGAGAACTTACTAAGCCTGCTGAAGGGTTTCTACCAGAAGCTTGGAGCAGACATGCATTTGAAGCCTTAACTTTAAAGTCAGAAGACAAGAATGCACACCACGACCACTTATATTCAAAATTATACCCGAGATCCTGGCTGGAGCAGTAAAATAAGAAAAAAGAAATAGAAGATAAAGGAATTTTTTTTCCCCCTGCAGGTGGCTGGTACTGGGATCTGGACCCATGACCTTGGTGTGATAAGGCTGTGCTCTAACCAACGGAGCAAACCGGCCAGCCCAGATAAAAAAGAATTAGAAGGGACATACCAATGCTGTCACTCATAGCTATGATTAGCCACACAGAAAACCCAAGAAAACCTACCAGCTGTTTAAATTAACAGGAATACAGCAAGGTATAAACTCAATTTATAAAAACCATTTGCATTCCTATACCCTAGTGTAGAGGCTGAATTGTGCCCCCACACCCCCATTCCTATGAAATCCTAACCTCTGGTAGCTCACACTGTGACCTTATTAGGAGACAGGGTCTTTAAAGAGGTAATTAAGGTAAAATGGGGTCATTAGGGTGAGCCTTAATCTTATGTGACTGGTGTCCTCATAAGAAGAGAAGATTAAGACACAGACACAGAGGGACGACCACGTGAGGGTGCAAGAAGGAGATGGCACCTGCAACCAGAGAGAGAGGCCTCGGGAGGAACCAGCCCTGCGACACCTTACCTTAAACTTCCAGCCTCCAGAACTCGGAGGAAATAAATATCGGTTGTTTAAGCACCCATCTGTGGGATGTGTCATGGCAGCCCTAGGAAACTAATAGTTCAGTAACTAGCAACGTGAAAATATATTTAAAAGGATCAACAAAACAATAAGGTACCTAGGGATAACTGTAACAGATGATGTGCAAAATGCCACGGAGGAAAGCACGATATTTTTATTAAAGTCATTATTTAAAAAAAAAAAAAAAAAAAAAAAAAAACAGAAGAACAGAGAACTAAACCACGTTCGTGGGAAGTCAGGCTTCATATTGCAGCGACGGCGACTCGCCCCGGTCTGTGCATTTCAAGGCAATTCATAAAATGGGTAGGCTGATCCCAAACTGCACAGAGAAGACTACGGGGCCAAGACAGGGAGGAATTCACCTTAGCAAATACTAAGATTTATTATAAAATCTAAACAGTTTGGTATCGGGACAAAATGGACTAAGAAAAAAAAAAAATCTTAGAACAGAAAAGAGCCTAGAATCAGCCCCACACGTGCCTGAAACCTGTGCACAAAATCTGTGTGGGATGCGATGACCTGTTACTCTCTCCTGGGGCTGGGACTGTGGCCGCCCACGTGATAAAAGTTGAAATTAGATACGTATCTCATGCTGAACGTAACAGTAAATTCCAGACTAAAGATCTATAAATAAACAAAGCAAAAGGTAGATGCGTTTACAGGAGGGAAGGATTTCTTAAACAAGACACCAAAAGCCCAAAGGAAGAGATGGATACGTTGGGTGTTACCTCAAATTTTAATGTTAACGTACATTACTATGAAAAACTTGTGTGTGACAAAAAGACACCCAAAAGGACTGATCTGAAGAAAGAACTGGTGGGATCAGTGTTTTATCTTCTTTTCACCTTTTCTAGCATTGGTGATAATTCCATGACAGAGCAACAAAAATTACTGAATAGAAAAAAGTCAGAATGTCAGAACTTTAAGAGAAGTTTATATATTTCTTTCCTTTTATTTTCTTTTATTATTTTCCTTATTTCCACCCAATCGGAGTGGCTGGGTTGTCGAGGACAGTGGCAAGTGAAGGACAGGCTCGTTCCATGGGGACAGGTGGTGAATGGCCGGTGGTCAGGCTTTGTCCTCTGGCTGCCCACAAACAGCACCGCGCGGTCATTCAGGCTCATCTTTCTGTGATTGCCAGTGAGGCCGAAGGTGTTTCCTAACTCACTGAACATTTTTCCTTCTGTGAACTCCTTGGGTGTGCCCTCCGTCCACTTTCCAATTAGGATCCTTATGTTTTGCCGACTGATTTCTAAGAACCCTTTACATAGTGAAACCCTTTTCTCAGCTGCGAGCATTTCCCCTCAATTTATCAGCCTTTCTAAACCGTCTGAAGTATTTTTTGAAATTACAGAAAATTAAAATCTTTATACTGCCAATGTTTGAGTTTTTCAGGGGTTGTAATGGGTTGAACTGTGTCTCCCAAAAACATATGTCCGAGTCCGAGCCCCCATACCTGTGAATGTGACCTTATCATTTGGAAACAGGTCTTTGCTGAGATAATTATGATGAGATCATACTGGACTAGGGTGGGCCCCAAATCCAGTGACTGGTGTCCTTAGAAGAGGACACACAGACATAGAGGAGAAGGCCACGTGACAACAGAGGCAGAGATCAGAGTGACGCGTCCACAAGCCAAGGAAAACCTGCAGCCACCAGAAGCTGGAAGAGGCAGGAAGGACCCTCTCCTAGAGCCTTTGAAGAGAACGTAGCCCTGCTCTTGACCTTGGATTCTGGCCTCCAGAACTGTGAGACAAGAAACTTCTGTTGCTTTAGACAGCCAGTTTGTGGTCACCCCAGGAAACTAATGCAGGTGTCATGCTCAGAAAGGTTGTCCCCAAGTACACAAAGTAACTATGTTTTATCTTAGCACTTCCCGTTTCTTGTTTCTTTTTAATATGTAAATGTTTACTCTATCTGGAATCATTGTATTTAGACTGGTATTTCCCAAACTTGTCTGACCATAAGGACCTCCTGAGATAGTGACTGAAAGCAGATGCCAGGCAGCCCCCAGACACCCCTGAGAGCAGATGCCAGCCCTGCCGGACCCCCTGAACCCACCTCCTTCAGGGGGCCACCATCTGCCTTCCTCAGTGCGCTGGGTGATTTTTTTCCATCAGGGAGACCCTATTACAGGACAGAGAGAACCATCTTCACTTTTTTCCAAAGTCAGCCACTGTCCCAGACTGTTTCTTGCCAAAGCTCCATTTTTCACAGTATGTCTGGCCGCACGGCAGTGGACTCCAAAGTGCGACAGAAAGACAAGAGGTGTATTTTTTAGCCAGAAACCCCTAACACTGTGAAAGCAGTGAACAAACATGGAGTGAGTTTTTACAGAACCTGTGAATGCAGTATCAGAGGAGATGGAAGAGGCCGCTTAAGAAAGTCCACCCAAGGCTGCTCGGCGAGCTCAGCCGGTTAGAGCACAGCCTTACAACACCAAGGTTGCAGGTTCTGATCCCTGTACTGGCCAGCCGCCACCCCCATCCCCCCAAAAAAAGCCCACCTAGCGGCCAGCTCTTACACAAGGATACAGCAAGGAGCCCTGACGACCACCACGGGCCAAGTGACTGAGCAGGGCTCACGGTTTGGAGGCTCCAGGCTGCAACAACACACTCAAAATGCTGGATCAGCTCAGGACTTGTAGGATCAGCCTCAACAGCAGCACTGAAACTCGTGTATTATGACAGACTGTTGTGGCGGTCTCAGACAGGGACAGGCTCATCAATCAAGTGACTCTGGGTAGTTCCCCACTTGGGAAAACAGAGGCTCACAGACAGCACAGCCTCAGCCCTGGCTGGCCTGGATAGTCCCGGTTGGTGCCCATTGTCCCTCCCTGTCATTCTTAAGGATGTCCCAGCTTGGACAGCAGATTATGTAGCCACCACACCCGGGTCAGGCAGCTAATAAGTGAGTGGGCTAGACCACAAATCTGGCTTCTCGAGCACGATCCAGTGTGCGTTCCACAATAAGCCCTGCTGCGGGCCTGCGCTACAGCAACATGTCTATGAGGAATCAGAGGAAGAAACAGGGGTATTTCAGCAGACCCGAAAAAGCCCTCTGTAAGACAGACTTCCACCAAAGAGAAATTAAAGTCTGGAAATAAATAAGTCAACTGTCCGGGACTGATAAAGATAAAGGAAATTCAACGGAAGGAACGTTCACCAGCCTAGAATCTCAGGAAAGGTTAGCACAGATCAGTTTGGTCCCTTTGACAGTTCCTCTGACATCTCCCAATGATGAGCACCAGGAGAGACAGTTCTGACCCCCAAAGGGAGCCCCGAGGACCCCCTCACCTGTTTCCTCTCCCGGGATCCGAGAAGTATTAAACATTCGCTCCCATTGAGCAGAGCAGAGTGGAATTGTGGATCCCAAAACACAAATCTGTAAAAAGAATATGTTTCAACAAACAAAAATGCCACAGGGAGACCAAAAAATAAAAAAAGGCAAATTAAGACCACACATGTAAATGCGGGATTTGCTTTCCGTACACATGGCAACAGTCTGTCTTCATCTTTTCCAGTAGTTCTCTGGGATAGTTCACTGGGGGACTTGAACCATGCCAGGTACAACTTCCTGCATAATTAAGTCCTAAATAACACATTCTGAATAATTTTATAAACTGACACTGAAACCAAAGGGGTATTCGAGGAAGAAACGTCTTGCTTCTCATGGGTTGCACACCGACAACATCATTTTCCTTCAGAAACAAACAAGGGTCTCTTTGATGGGCAAATTACAGAGCTGAAGCACAGCGGGTGTCCAGTCACTTAATGTATGCAAGGAGAACTGAATCTCAAAATAATCATGCTGGGTGACAGCAACCAGACCAAAAAATCCTAAAGAGCACAAACCATATGGTTCCATTTACATAAGCTTTAGAAATTACAAACTAATCTGGAGTGACAGATAATAGATCAGGGTTACCTGGCGGGGCAGGAGGGGGCAGCAGGGGGCAACCACAAAGGGGCACAGGGAACTTTCAGGGTGACGGGTGGATTCACTACCTTGACTGTGGCAATGGTTTCACGGGTGTGCAGGTACAGATACGTCAGAACTTACCAAACCGGGCACTTCAAGTGTGTGCAAAATACCAACTGTACCTCAATGAAGCTGTCTTAAAATCATGTTTTAAAAAAAGCAATCAGCCTACTGGTTTGATTTCCTCGCGGTCCAGTTTGCGTCTGTAAAGCAGGATGGCGTGCACGGTGTTGCCTGCTCTTGCTGCCTGAATGTGAGTCGGAGTGATGTACAGAAAGTCCTGAAAAAGCAGACAGAATGTTCGCGGGAGAGAGCGGCTAACTTAAACACGCTGTAGAGCAGCCCACCCTTAAACCACGTCTACAGACGTGTCCGATTACATCTGCTAAGCTAGAAATTAAATTGCAACTTAATTTCATTAATTAACTAATTTAAGTTTGCTGTACTTTGTCAGTTTCACTTTGCTAATGTTTTAAAAGAACACAAGCCCCCGAGTATTCTTGGGCTATTAAAGATAACAGGATTTCTCCCCAAATATCCTCATATAATGCAGGGAAGTAACTAAAGATTAAAGGAACTTTTCATATAGAGCAGTGCTTACAACTTTCTAAATTATGAGACACACTTCGAAATGTCTACATTTTTAACAACTGGAAAAAAAGGCCAAGGGACACAGTCTAAACTACATTTGGAAAGAGTCTATGTGCACAGTGTGTCCCCAGTTATGCAGGGAAGTAGCTCTGTCTGGAGGAAATAAACACGAACGTCTCCAGGAGGGAAAGGGCAGCGGGGGGAGAGCACACCCCCCCGCGGTGCAGGGAGAGAAGGTTCTGTGTCCTGCACCAGCTCCTCCCTGGGTCTGAGATTGTTTCAGACAGAAAAAAAGAAAGAAAGAAAATTTTGAAACAGAGAAAAACAGAAAAAAAGCAAATGATAAAGAGAAATAAGGAAAAGAGGGAAAAAACAAAAGGAGTGAAAAACAGAAGAAAGAAAAGAGAAAGAATTCTATTCGCCAATTGTTCAACAGAGGCCGAGAACCCAAAAATCAAGGGGCCTCATGGCCACCATCAATGTTTGAAAAGACAAAGAAAGACCAAGAGACATTGATCAAAAACTGCCCTGAATACATGACCATCTGGCATCTGAGAACACGGAAGCAAGAAGCTGGCCAAGCCACTGTCCCTGAGCTCTGGGGGTTACGCAGTGACACAAAGTCTTAAGGCTACTGTGGCACTAAGTTACAGGGGGTACAGGGACGTGTGTAGTGAGGAATCCTGTTTGCCATGAGCATGTTTTTGCAATCCAAATTTCCATGCAGGAGCTCAGTGTCCTCGAGCCACTAGGCAAACGCGGAGGGACGTCCACGTGGTCTCTGGTGTGGTCAGCGGGACAGAGAAGGACACGGGTGAGCCTGGGTTCCTTCCCGGGCACCCGTAGGACTCACCATTGCATAGTAGTTGCTGTTGACCATCAGCGGCCCCCGTCCTCGGAGGTAGACATATTCTTCCCACCAGTCGCTCACCTAGTGGACACACAGACAGACAGCGCCACGGGCTCAGCGGGTGGCCCCAGGGGCACGCAGTACTTCCTGGCAGACGTGGCAGCGGCTCTGGGGCCACTCCAGAAACACACAGTCCTAACCAGATGGGACACAAACCCGAGGGGACAGCAAGTGATGTTTTTAAGTCAAGACATAGCTGGAAGGTAGATCACCTTCATTTTGTAAATGATTTAAAAAGAAAAAAAACAAAAAAGACTCAATGGGAAGTGATAAATAACTGCTAAGATGTTTAATATCCAAGACTATCCAAAATTGCTCCGCAGACTGCTTCTCCTCCTCCTGTCTCCCGGGTCTCCCTGCAGAAGCCACCGTCTCCATCCGCTTCCGTGGTGAGAGCCACGGCATGCCACCTGGAGGTCACGTGTGCTGTCCTTGTTCCCCAGCATGCACATCTCGACATCCCCCAGCCAGCTCTGAGAGCCAACACCCATGATCTGGACCGAGGGGCCCCGTTTTTGTTAAGTTTGTGTTGAAGTCCTTCTGCATATGGAATGTGCACATGTGAGAGTCTGAGTGAGCAAAGGGGAGTCCACATCTACACCTTCAACACGCCTGTGCAACCAGGGCCTGATGAAAAATGGAACATGACCAGCCTCCTGAAGACTCCCGGGCTCCCTGCAAGCGCTGCCCACGCAGCCACGATGCTGACTTCTAGCACCATCTGCTGGCTCTCTCTGGATCACTCTTAACTCCTTCCCTTCCGTGTTAGTTGTTCCTCAAACCCTAGACTCCCTCTCATTTCATCCACTGACCATGTCCTCTCACACT